ATCCCGTCTTAATGCTTTATTATGCGTTTATGTATATTCTACGCCTTTTAAAGTGCTGATTAAGTGTCTAGGTAGATTCCACCCATTTTAGCCCTTATGCAACTTTACTTTTGTCGTTTTACAGCTACTTATTAAAAAGAGAAAGAGCCGTATTAATGCACCTAAGACGTTAAAACGAGGCATAGTTACCCCGTTTTAACGTCTTACATGCATTAATACAGCTGTCATCCAGTTTAAGAGCGCGTTATTCTTTTACCTCTTGGCGTTTAGAAAAGTACAACTTCCGACCCCGTTTTGACGTTTTCGGTTATGCTTTTATAAACACTAAAAGCATTAACGTAATCGAGTTGTGTAGCTTAGGGAAGCGAACAAATTTATACGTCAAATCTCGTTTTTGGTTGCTTTCAAAAATGGAAAAGTTTTGCTAAGTGGGGTGACGTTTAAGTCGAGTGATGTGCAGCCAAAGAAAACGTCATTAAGTCATTACGTTGCTTAATGATTTATTGTCATAATCATTGTTAGCAAAATGTCAATAAATTATTCATGCTACTCTAATGGCAAATCTATTGAAGGGATATGTTTGTAAAGCGGAGCAACAGTCCTGGCAGAATACAGATACTTGGCAACATTTGCTAATTGAACCATTAAAATTGTAAAATCTTCGCCGTTTGAGTTCACTAACAGGCAAGAGTTAATGTCTCGAATCGAAAGACTCCACATCATACACTTTTCTTTTTTTCTCTTCTTCTTCTTCTTCCCCGCATTTTTATTCACCAGATTGTTAAAACGGCTAATGTGTGTTTTTTAAAAAATTCATGCTTTTAAAATCCATTTGTGTTCAAACAAGCGTGGCAAAATCTTCTTTTTTTGGGAGGAGATCGATTTAATTTCTAAAGTTTCTCGAAAGTTTAAAATTTCTGAAGATTTCTACATGTAATTATCGCTTTGCAAAGGTAAAAAAGTCGTTATTAGTTTGAGGATTCGCTCTTTTGAAGAGATTGAAAGATCCCCCACTTAAAAATATGGCGGATGACCCCCCCCGGGGATCCATATTCTACCAAAAGTGATGCTCCACGCAGAGACATAACATCAAGAAACCCCGAGGACCTATTTAACGGACGTTAATGCCTGGCTTTGGTAGTCGTGTTGGGCACAGATGTGACGTCACGAAACGATCCAGGGACCCATTGGATATAATAATCAGGAAGTGACCCCAGAGGGCTCATTTTTTCGAGTAAAATGCAACCGGCAGAGCATTTATCATGCGTCACGAAGACCCAACTCTATCGACTAGCATGCACGGAACAGAGGGATAAATCGTACGAAAATAGAAAAACAAGAGACGATACCCATCTCGGAGACATTGTTTAAGCTTCCTTTTTTTTCGCATCCCTCCTCCCGTAGGAGAGAATGACAAAGTGTTAAGCCATTGACCTCCGTGATCTGCCTTATATATACAAAAAGTAATGAAAGATGCCACAACAGTATCTGTACAATGGAAGCGTCTAGGAGCTAAATCTCTTATGTGACAAGTGATTTATAACAAATGACCGGCGTATAAAAGCTAAGACGTGAAACAGGTCTCAACGTCTTCATTTTCATCTGCAAGAATGGCAAAAAAATCTCTTGCTAAAATCTGGGCGAAGTTCTGATGATGTAATCTTCCCCCTTTCTCACAATTTATATACAAGAATCCCATACGAAAAGGGTTGGAAATTATTCCTCCACTTATGCAACACGACTTTATCTGATGTTACGTATTAATAAATTCTTCCTACATTAATTTTCTGTAGTGTACGTACGAATTTTTTTGCGCATAAGTTTGAGCAAATAATTACCCATGACTGATAATCTTCGTGTCGTTTGCCATTCTTCAACCTTTAAGCAGATCTTTTGGCATGTGCAATTAAGTGAGTTAACTGGTGACGGATGATGTAAAAGAACGTAACTCTTCAGCATCACCAAAAAGTTCATGCAAAACAAAGGCGCCGACTTATTAATTGCAAATTAACTAGATGAACGCATTTATTTTCTAGGCAAATTTATTAAAAGTTTTAAAAGCCACGCGCAGAATTTCGATACCAACCGAATTACTGCAAATATTCGCGCAGAAATTATAATTTAATTGGTTAGCTCGGACCGTACACACAGACACACATACAAACTGCATCTTCGCAACATTCTAGTAGTAGATTTGTTAGAGCATGTAATTACTCAGAGTACCACACACTGGTCAGACTGTGCAAGTGGGTACATTGATCAATTCCCTGCACGAGAAGGGACGTTCCCTCAGGGTACAACTATGTTGGTTTGCTAAGACAGCATCTATTTCATTCGGAAAATGTTGTGAAGGGGCATACCATCGATTTATATATCCGTATATATATATATATACACACACACACACTAAAATATAATTCTTTTCCTCTGTACCGGGGTGAAGTTTTATCGTCATTTACATCACGAAGACAAGCGGGATTACTTTATTTCTCTGTACACGGTGGATGTTTGTGGGAGGGTCGAAGCAGGTATAATTTTCGGAATGGTAGAAGAATATGGGCGCTTTTAGTCATGGCTAAAGCTCTTTATTGTCTCAAAGAAATCGATAGCAAATGTGTCTGGCATTTTTACATTCGTGAAATTCGTCACGCTCTCTGTGAGAGCTTTTATAATTCGCGTCACGTTACGATTATCGAGCCACCCCAATTAATCGATAACACGACTTTTTAGGGATTTTATGGGAGATGCTTTAATTAAGGGATTTTTTTCTGTGTTCTTTCATATTCTTTTATTTTTTTTTTTCGAAGATTTTTGATGAGAGCCGTTTCCTTTGTTAGAACCTAATAGGTCAGACCAATCATAATCTCCCTAATGGAGGGTTGATACTGAGACATATGGCACCCCACGGTCCCGAGTTGACAAGCTAGAGAACTGCGCGCGTACTCTGCCTCATTACCTTTCAGCAGATCTCGATTCGAGATTATGTCCCAGAAATTAGACCATCAGATCCTGGGGGAGGGCGGCCGTGACGTCATAAAACTATTTTGCGGCGGGGGGACCGTCCCACTATCGTAACGGAGGCGTTGGCATATACGACTTTTGGGGTAAGTTGGGTTGTACTTATGGCGATGGGGCTATTGGTATGGTTGATCGGCCGGACAAAATGAATTGTAGAGAAGAGGATGAATCATACAAGTGCTGACAATAAGCTCTTCCATAGTGACATCATACAGCACCCCTCCCATTTACTTCAACATCTATTCAATAATGTTACCGGTATTGTAGTTTCAATTTTGACATGGTGGTGGGATAATTTGAAAGGTTTCGTAGATTTACTGAACTGCAAAATGGAACTAGTGACATCATAGAGTTCACGCCCAGTATTTGATAGAGAGGGGCCTCTTGTTCACAACTTGTAACGAGATTTTTTTTTAACTCTCCCTCTTTCTTAGTACCGTATTAACAGGTAATGGTTTCCACTCGAGCACAATGACTCATCGGCGTTAAACTTGGTTTAATTGCTATTCTATTGAATTTTACTGATTTTTTACCCCCCTCTAAAGTGATGTGTTAATATCCAAATCGTTTAATTTACGAATAAAAAAAATCCCGCGGAACAAGCTAAAGTAATTACCTCCTTTCTTCCCTCTAGTTTTACTACTTTTAATTTGTTGCCAGACAGTTTCAAGTATATTTCTGGGGGTCTTGCCACTCTGAGACTAGGAAAACGCCCAGTTGAGTTGCGTGTTGGGGTTTTCAATCTATAAGAATGTTTCTACTCGGCCAGACTCTTCCAAATTTATAAAACGGCGTGTAATGTTTAAGTTTAGGGAATATTCCCTCCTTGGGGTATTTTTTGATCCCATTATTACGTGGGGAATTCTCCTTGTTCGACGTTTAACCACATTTACAACTGGCTCTTTACCATTTACAATTCCCAAATTACTACTTGGCATTCTCAGTTTATCACTTAGTACTTAACATTTTGCTATTTATTGCTCTCAGAGTACCAATTGCAACTTCTATGCCATTTTAATATTTTCTAAACTCCATTTTATGCCCCTTGTTCCGGACTTAATTCGTCTTCCACGTGTGTTATGAAAGACCATTTTTCAAAATTCTCTGGCTGTACTTTTTTATTATTATTTTCTGTGTTCCTAATATTATAAATTGATACGGCTGACCAACCTAGACGTAACAAATACGTAACGCTTTGCTGTGTATGTGGTGTTTTTTATAGCCTCTCGCGATTTTAATGCATCTTTCTCCTGTCTGAATTATTAATGGTGTGACGTGCGTGATGGAAGACAATCATCCGCGTCGGGCCGACAACTCTTAAAAGTTGATGACGTAAATGTCGGTAAATTACACAGGTGTCTTGGGATGGTTTCACGAAAACCGACGAACTGGGGGGTGTGAAAACATGATGTAATTACATCGTGTGTGTGTTGTGAGCGGCAATCTTTGGGTATACGTAAGCTATACATTGCTAGACTATGTGCAATATGTTATATGTGTATAGTTACGTATCTTTATACGCGTAATTACAGTTACACATTCTTATAAGATTGTATGTGTATATATGCTTACAGTGTAATTATGTATATTAGCTTGTGAGCGGCAATCTTCGGGTATGTGTCTGTGTAAACTATACACAGCTAGTTTAACCATGTATTGTTACACATTGTGTGTACTGTATATGCCAAATTTGTTTCTATGCAAAGAACATTTTTTTTAATGTTCCCAACAGTTATTTAAATGGCTTTTTATCTGAAAATGGAGAAAAAGTAACGAGGGGTTGGCAATACCGTAGTGTGTATGTAGGCCCATTTTTCAGACACGGCACCCCGCACCGAGCGAAAAAGAAAACGACTCGATGCACAAAGACTTGCCCACCTATAGCACTCAATCTTTCGTGTCGGGCGCCAGTTGCCTAGATCGGGCCTGGCGGTTCAACAGCTGTCATTTTCTCACCAGATCCAGCCGTCAGAGCATAATGTTTGCTCGCTACAAAAGTATTGCACTGTGTAAACTCGTCCTCCTCCTCCCTTTCACTCGCTCTCGCTGTGTGTTGCGTTCTTCTTGATGCAGTCAAATCGGCGGTATTTCCATAATTAAAAAACGCGCGCTCCCCCTACTTTTAAAGTCATTTTCGGGTAGAAATTAATTGAAAAAATGTGCAGAGCGGAGCACATTTTAGACTCATTATCTTCCCACAGTTGCATTTACCTCTTTTTTTCCCCCTCGTTCCAGATTTCGGATAGATAACACCGATCACATAATTGATGTTAACAAGGGAAATATACCTTTCGAATACGATCAAGTTAACATCATCTGCCCGGTTTACTCGCCAGGAACTAAAGAAGAGGATGTGGAAAGATACATCATCTACAACGTAAGTATTTTTACCACCCCTTTTGCCTCTATACCTTTAATGCCATCTAGCGAATGAGGTAGCAAATATTAAGTATGTGATCGAATCTAATGGAAATTTTGTTGAAGGAAAGGCTAGAAATTTTATTTTCTTTGTCTTTGAAAGCACTTATCAAAGCGGGAGTTTTTTTTGCTACCTTCCTAATAATATTTTTTTTCTTTACTTTTAGGAAACTGTATTTTCTTTTTTTATTGATCAATTGAAACTTTGCTATGTTCTGCTATATATTGAGTTGAATTCTTAGAACGAGGACAAAAAAAAAATGAATGCTGCTCTTATTATCGATTTTGACTTATTCTTCAAAGAGAAAACAAAAAAAACTATTACAAATTGAAAAAAAAAATACATTTTTGTCTTTTGTTTTCTTATCCTTCTACAGGTTTCTAAAGAAGAATACGATTCCTGCAGGATAACTAATCCAAATCCGCGAATCATAGCAGTCTGTGATAAGCCTCATCAAGTGATGTACTTCACAATCACCTTTCGTTCCTTTACACCTCAGCCTGGAGGTTTAGAATTCCGACCGGGGCAAGATTATTATTTTGTGTGTAAGTATTGAGTACTAACCTAAAATCTGGAAAACTAAACGCGTCTCTTAACCTTCGCCTGCACCTTTACTCCCCCCAAGTCTGAGCCGTAGCAGCGGCAGCATCCTAGTTGCGAGATAAACTCGTTTTAAGGAGTGTGTACCTCCTCGAACTCATTTTCTATATCTTCGTGTTTGCTAAAAATTATACAGGTATTCTGTAATTACGAATCGCTTAGACTTTCTTCCACCATATTAAAAATTTTTATAAAAATTCTTTTTTGGGGAGAGGGAGGTTAAAAAAAAAGTTTATGCTGTTAAGTTGATAAACGCTCTAGGTTAAAAAAATCTTATCTGTAAAGGATGATAATGTACAAAATATGTACATATTATGTTGTTAGAATATTAATTAGTTAAAGCATGTAAATATACGATAGTCTAGTTTGAAATATTTGCTGTAAGGTTTATCTGATGAGATGGATAGTCTTACCCATCAACGCAAATGAATGCTTTTATGAGACTTGCATACTGAACTTTCTTATTTAGTTTGTCTAAGCATGTTTCGGTCTCCGCCTCTTTATGCATTTACGGCAATGAATAGGAGAAAAACCTGCACTGTTTCATTTGATATGTTTACTATTATGATAAGGGTGTGTACACAAAACAAAAAGCTTAAAAGATGATTTTTAAAAAATTAAATAAACTAATTATATACATTCTTATAAATTGTTTCTTTTAAAAAGCAACATCAACCGGAGAACTGGAGGGTCTGCACCAGAGACTTGGAGGTCGCTGTGCAACTCACAATATGAAAGTCACTTTCAAAGTTTGCTGCGACCCCTCGAAGAGTGAGTATTTGGAAATACAATATGGTTGTTAAGTTTTTATCTGTTTAATTTATTGAATTGTTATATAAACAGTTCCACCTGCACCGGCAACTACTACGATGAGCACCACCAAAACTGAACCGGCTACACTGTTTCCAGTTAAAAATAGTTCTTATTCTGAGGAGACCGTTTCGGTGTCGACTACCCCTCGCTGGTTTGCACCTCCGACATCTAAAACCACTGTGGTAAAAAGCTATGATGTGCCGGTTGATAAATCTAAGCCCTCGTCTAAGAAGACAGGTAAAACATCTGAATTTGTTAATGATAATTCTGTGGTATAGCAGTTAAACAATAAAGTTTCTTTTACAGAAAGCAGAGATAAGCTTCCAAATGAGACAAGAGCAAAGAACGAAGAATTGATCAATAGGAGCTCTATTTTACATACAGATAGTGTTTTAGTAACATCAGTATCAATATTATTGCTATTGTTCCTGACCAGATGAAACATAGTCTTTTTTTAACTATTACACCTTAGTGCTCTTAAAAGATTTTTTAAAGTTGGAAAAATTAAACTTAAAAAAAATTATCATGGAAATTCCATGCCAAAAAGATCTGGTCATTGCAAAGATAATTTACACAACTGTGTTGAGATTATGATAGTGCACAGTGTTCATATATTATATCAATATTTTAAGTAATTGGGTGTAGCTTGCTTCGGATGGCTACTTTGAAAATTAACTGAGATGAGAATAGATCTAGCCAAAGCTGGATGTGCCAAAATTTTAGATATGGTACAAAAAGTGCCTTAGAGGTCCGGCAACATCTGTGGACTTGAATAATGAAAGAAAGAGAAAGAGAGAGAGAGAAATTGACTGGCCCAATTTGACAAATATTCCATCAAAAAACATTCCAAACATCTATATTTCTATTAAATGGCAACAAACCCCCTAGCTTGGCAAGAGCTCATATGAATAAACTATTAAGGGCATTACTGCAACTTGTTTTTCTGGAAGTGCACTTTCTTGCTTCCATCCAGCACTTTGTGCAACACCCATCATCACATTGAATAGATGGACGTTTCTGGATGAAGTTTATTCCCGAAAACCAAAAACTCTCAATTACAATGGTTGTAACCCAAAAACTGTAAACTTGTTGTGTCAATGGATGTGGAGTTTTGGTCACCGGTAATTGCTACGAGTGTATCGCTGTAACACGACAACAAAAAAACAAGGATATGGTCGAATTTCTGTTCCTGGTGTTTAAAAAAAAAAATTAATGTTGAGTGTAACCGGTGCAGTATTTTTCCAATTCAGCATTATGAGATTCTGTTCAAGTGTGAGGGAACATTGTATAAAAAAAAAAACTCTCCCTATGTACAGTTATGATCAGTGTCTGCATGTAGCTGTGATGTGCTGTGTACACAGTGTCGGTGACAGAAATGCCAATCTGAAGATGACTAAATTGGCACTTTATATTGGACATCTAACTAATGTGCACTAAAGACAAGGATGTGATTACCGTTGAAACATATTTATTTTGACCAGACTGTCAATGGTAGTATTGTAATTATATGTTTGCTTGTCAACCAATTTATCCTTTAGAATGGATGTAGTATCATGTGCCCATTAATGTTGTTATCAATTGGCAGATGTTTCAAACCACCATGTGGTACAATGAGATGCCTGTGTTTACAGCCTTGATTTGAAACAAGATACTTTGTGATGGAGTTTTGAGAATGTATGATTTTTGTATATCTATAAATCAAGATGGTTTTTGTCAATTAATAGAACTGTTTCGTTTTCTTCAATCCACGAGTTTTAATAACTCAACAAATAATATTGGGGATATTAAATACAAAATTAAACATTAAATGTACATTAATTGAATGATTGGCTTTACATGATTTATACAATCATTAAATGGCTGTCGATTGTACAAACAACACACCTTACCGTGCCTGGAAAAAATTTCCATTTATGACTAGCAATCAATTTTCTGGTAGAGCATTAGTGACATTTATCTTCTGTCAGGTAATAATAAAAAATATACAATATTGAAGTACTTGAGAGAATTCCAAATGCAGAATTTCAGCTACCTGTATATCGCTTTAGATAATTTGCAGGTACATAACCAGTATTGCCGTAGCGATCTTCAACATACCACCATTCGGAATTTCCATGTAAGTCATTCTTATGATGTATTAAGACAACTTGGCCCTGAGTTAAACTCAGTTGATGATCTCCTTGACTATTAAAGGGATATGCTGCATAAAAATACTGTAAAAAAAAAAAAAAAAAAATTAAAAGTTTCTTCTCTTAAATTTTTATATAATTTTTCATAAAACTTTTAAATGTGCAATTAAATTATAATTTCTAATAACATTTTAGACATTTCAAATTACCTCAGGAGAAACTTGATCTTCTGGAACATTAACAGTTCCAAGTTCTGGAATAACTTCGTATCGATGAGCTGCGTACAAATCGTCTCCAGTTTCCCTAATAGGATTCGAAGCAAGGGGATCAAATTCATTTACTGGCACATTACAATATCTCTTGGTACCATTTGACATATCAATTAAATCTTTTTGATGGTTGCTTTCCAATTGTGTCTCACTGATTTCTTCGTAACAGTTATTTATTGACGGTTGAGTAATGTCAGTATGTTGCATATCTTGACTTAATTGTATAGGATGTAATGAATTAAAGCTTTTCTTGACTTTAGTTTTCTTATTAGAGATATTAAAATCATCATCACTTTTTAATTTTGAAAGAAATTTAACAGGTACAAATCCTTGAACACCTAAAAAAAACAAAAAAATTTTTATATATATATAAATAATAATCTAAGTTGTGATAACAGTTTATTTTTAAAATATAATTTTTAAAATAGTTTCTTTTTCTCTGTATAATAGAATGATCAAATATATTGCTGCCAAGACCAATCAATTTCTAGTTGCTATGGCAATACGTTTACAAAACATTCCAGTACAGAGATGCAATATTTATGCACATATAATATTGAAAACAGAAAACATAAATAATAAGGAATAAAAAATATATGAAGTAATCAAGCAGATAAAATATTAAAAGTTAAAAGCTGTCGTTTTTGTTATTTTAAAGTTAGCACTTTAGATGATTTTCTAAATTAAATTTGCAATTTAATTTAATTTTCCAATTTTTTTTCCTTTATAAATAATTTAAGATTTTTTCAATGTATGATAAATCCATACTCTGTGGGAGGAAAAGTTTAATATTTGATAAGAAATTTTCACGTTCAAATAATAAATAGATGCAATTTATGAGGAATTATTTTCTAAATGGATAATTAGTATTTTTTTTTCTTTTTTTTTTGTGTGAATTTTTATCAACTAGCACTTGAAAAATCAATGAAAAAGAATAAAAATCTACTCTAATGAATTTTAAAAGTTAGTAATTTTAATTTATAGCTTAATCATTCAAACAATTTTCAAATTGAAATTAAAATCTTCATTTGTAGGGAAAAAAATACTTAAAAAGTAATAAAGAATTACTTAAGTAAGAACCAATAAAACCAAAAGACTGTTTATGGCAGAGCTTTAAGATTCCCTTTGCCATTATAAAGTAAAAATTGGCAATAGTAAAATTAATGTAGGAATGCAAATGTTTTCATACAAAATTAATTAATGAATTATGTTAACAACAAAACAAAATTATTGCAAATGTTACTTTATTATTTTATGTAATTACATCTTTTTAAAACTTATTTATTTATAACTTGTAATAGTTAATATAATAAATATATTTATTACATTTTCTGAACAAAATTTTTAGTGTCAAATGGCGCAGAAAGTGTAATGTTGCGTAAAATAAACATATAAAAATAATTTGCATCCATATCAATATTTTATATGATAAATATTAATATAAAAGGATAGTTAAAACTTTAATTTACATAATACATTTTCTGTTTCCTCATTAAAATTAAATAAAAGTGCTTAAATTTTATAAAATTCATTATTCTAAAATCAATCTATATTGCATCAAGTAATAACTGTCTGCTTTACTAAATGAGCTGTTTAATTTTATATCACTATAAGAAACAGTCTTAGAAACAGTATTTCTCATCGTTATCTGATATAACAGTGAATGTATTTATACTAACAAATAATTTAAATAATTATTTATCACTATACAATAATATATACTTAGCTATATTTCAATGTTAAGTTATTTAATTAATCTATATTTTTATTTCATTTGTATACATAAACATGTCATCTACATGATAAGTACTGAGAGAGTTCATTTTTATTGTACTAAATCCACAACACTCCATTAAATTTAATGCAAATTCTTTGTTTACAACAGCAAGGAAATGAAAAGTATTAGTACACATCTGTCTTATAATTCTAATCTCAACTCTAAGTTCAAATCTTAATGTCTAGAATCTTGCATAGCTAATTTTACTTTATAAGATTATGCATTATACTATTGCAGCTTAAGTATTTTTTGATAATTGTAATTAAAACCTATCATAGAAATATAAATCATAGTAATTTTTCATTAATAAAATGCCAAATATCTTTGTTTATTCTTTCATTCAAACAAATATGAGCTAAATCCTTTACAATTCTAACAATTACAAACATTAATCTTTGCAAGAAAGATTTAGTTGAAGTTCTTTCAATGAGATGAAAAATTGAATAAACATTATTATTTTGTTTTATTTGTTAAAAAGTTTTGATAAATTCCACTTGTAAGAATTTGTTATTTTAAAAACAATTTGTTCACTTTTATTTAAAAAAAAAAAATCATTCTAAAATAGTCAGCAATATTAAGTTTATTTGTATTTCACTCACAGAATCCAATGTAAATTAAATTTTGAATGAAATGCAAAATTATTATAAATTGAAATAAATTCTTAATAATGTTAAAAATAGAAGCAATAACTTTTTCTAATTTAAATTAATGATATTTATGCTAATAAACACAAATCATTAAGTTTGCCAACTTATTCTATTAAAAGAACTACCTACACTGAAATTGCAGTTGTGATTAAATGCCTGATCATAATGCAACAATATAAGTGCTTGAATTTTGAATTAGATATTTATAAAAAAATTATTTATTTTAAAAATGATAAGATGAATTCAACTTCTTGTAGTTAAAGAAACAATTTATTGGCATAGATTATGTTATTTGTAATAATATAACTATGATGACATGTCAACAACATAATACAAGAACATTATAATTTTAATATTTATATCATCGCAGTTAAAAATTAAAAAATAAAAATAATAAAATGTAAATCATCAGTATAAGAGTGAATAAAAAGATTTGGCATTGCATTTCTTCCATTGCGAAAATAAACAGTTTTAATTTTAACCTCAGAAAGATGTGTTACTGTTTATAAAAAAGAAAATTCAAAGAACAATCTTAAAAATCTTTTTAAAATTTAAGTTCTCGCATCTTAAATCAAATAAAACACTTATAATTAATTTAGTTAATTGGCAAATAAATTTTTATTTAGAAAATACCTTGAGAAATTGAACAAGCATTCTATTTTAATTACCCAGAAAGAACTTTTAGAAGGGGAAAAAAATATGAAATTGATAATGAAATTAGCAAAGCAGGATGTCTAGAAAAATCAATTAAATAAATGTATTTTTGTATGAAGAAAAGCAAGACCAAATTATTAATCAGTAATATAATATATAAGTGAAATTCAGAACATTAAATTACAAATAATCATTTGATCCAAATACTAGAAGCAAAAGAAGTAGAAATATTAATTAGAGTAAATAGAATTAATTAATTGTTATGTTTAACTGTCATCATTGAAACTATTATAATAGGAAAATATCTCATTCTAGTAAATAAAAAATTTATGAATCAAACATTACATGATTTAAATGTATAGAAAATAAAAATGAGGAATAAAAACTTTACCAATAATGCTGAAATAAAAATTCTTATTTTTACCATCAGATCAAGGAGATGAATAAAATTCCATTAGGTTAAATTTGAATTTTATTCAAAACAGATATAATACATAAATGTAAAAGATTATTGATTAGTATATTCAAAAGAAGTTTAATAATGCTGAAAATTAGTTTAATTTGATAAAATAACTAACTATTTTCAGGTTGTTAACACTTTTCTGTGCTAAAATTATTAAATTAATTATAATGCTTATTGCATTTATGAGAATGAATGTAAATGTTATATTGGTCATCAATACAATTTCAAATTCTTAAACTATATTAATATTTGATAATGTATAACACTAATTAATGATATATAATAGAACACAACTTGCATCTATTTTCTCTTAATGATAATGCATATTGGTCATTATATATATTTTACATGTACTGTACATTATAAATAATGCATATTTCAAAGTCATTTCTTCTTGTAAGTTAGTTAGTTAAGAAAAGTTAACTGTTAGAAATTATTAAACTAATTTAAAAACAAAAGAACTAAAATGATTATGATTTAAAGAAATAGTGAAAAATAAAGTCAAGTCCAGTGTTCTCAATATATACAAAAATAAGATGAACAAAAGACCAAAATGCCAAATAAATATATAAATTCCACACTTTTTATCTAGGATATTTATCAGAGATTTATTATTATATGTTTGGGATATCGTAATTCTGATGTTCTAACATTTATAAACTTCAAATACAAAACTATAGTAATCACTTAGGTTACAGTTTACATTTTCTTAAGTAAATTAGATATTAAATTATCATTTTGCACTAACAGCATCATCATTCAGTTGATAATATGTAAATTATTATTATTTACCATTTATAAAGCATAAGTTAACACTGATAAAATAATCAACTTTTTAACATTAATTGTTACATTAATGTAAACTGTTAGCATTTCTTACTTTAACTATACATTAACTGCTGTTAAAGATATAGTATTCTAGAAATCTGCAAAAATCAGCAGATAAATAATATTGGATGAATAATTTAATAGTTATCCAGTGCTGTTTATCTGCTATTTTTTGTAATTAATAATAAATATTCAAGTTATTAAAACAATTAAAATAAGAATTGTGTATGATGTGTATATTATGTTTTTTTAATGTAAGTCAAGTCAATAAAACCAGACTTTCTACTAATCATATGGTCTTATTTACTTACCCTCTTACGTTACTGATCATTATTGTACGCACATACATACAATACTCGTATATAATGATTTAGAGTATTAATTTGGATTGTTTCTCACTTTCTTGAAGATATAGTGTGTTATATATCAAAAATTTTTCTCCCTCTAAAAGAATACTAAAAGAATATGCTCATAATTTAAATGGAAAAATATATTTTTAAGACCAAATAATTTTATTAGAAAATTTCAGGCAATTTTATTTTGTTACAATGGTAATTTTGTTACAGTTTTGCTCCAAGTATACCAAGCTGTCAGTACTGCTGAGAAAAGATACAAGTATATTTGTAATCATTTACAATATTTATTGTTGAATTTTCTTTATAAACAGTAAAATTGATTTATGAGATGAGAAATAAATGCTAGAGATTACAAACAAATCAGAATAATAGCCAAATTATACCTTGTTATGGTAAAATTAGTTTTGTTATACAGTACATTGTTTTGCTTAGCTTCATAGTTCC